AGTTAGTGAACTTGTTTGAGCCTGGGGATCCCTGTACCACCACATAAGTCTAACTAAGAACATTTGAAAGTTTTTAACCTGTATGACAAAATCATTTCTGAAAAAAAGCCATACTTTGCAGAACTTTTATGAAAGTAATGAAAATATAATTTGAAAACAAAATCAACAACTGTTCTGAGACCAGCTCAGGATTTTAACCCTAGACTTACGATCACAGTTCAGTTCCTTTAACCAACTGAGCTACTTAATGGTCGTTTCCTTCCCCTGTTCCGGTTCAGTTATATCCACAGTGAGATTTAAGGAAGATAACTGTATATGAAAAACTACCGTGAAATTCTCTAGTGTTTTGCTTGCAGAGGAACAGAGATCCTCAAGGATAACAATGAAATAATAAGGTTTGGTAAGTTCCATAAAGTACAGTTAATAATGGCAGTTATTGAATTTGTCTGAGCGTTCATGGTGATTCTAGGAATGATGGAAACGATATCTGCTAGTAGTACTGTTATTTGTGTTGTGATACAACCAAATCAAATAGTAATTATAAAGCAAAATATGGATTTAACACTGGAATGATTTTCTATTATGTGCAGTAAAGAAAAAAATGTGACTTTGACCTAGTAGTGGTATGTGACATACTGTCATACCAAGTTGTACCTACATGTGATCAGCAAGAATGATATACCCTGGACAATGATTTCACTTGTTGTAAAGTCAAACATGAAAAATAGGTGACAGTGTCCTAGTTTTGGTATGCAACAAGGATTGCATCTACTAGCATATCAACTAGTTATTGTTTGGATAAAAAAAAAGTAAGGACAGAAGGGCAGGCAATGTCGCACCACATTATGACCTGTAGCTGATGAGTGTATCAAAAAGGATTAAATTAGAAAGGGTTCGTAGGTGGAAAACTACATAGGGTACTGATTATAGCATATCAGGATCTGATGGAGAAGATTGTTGAAATTTTAGCCAATGTGACCACCTTTGGCTCCTGGAGGGTGAGATCTATACAATTTACAATTTTGGTTTATCTACAAGAGGCCCATAGGCCTGCATCGCTCACCTGGTATTAATCTCACACTTGTAATCTTAAAAGTGGACTAAAATACAGCCAAAGGCAAAATATCAGTGTTTCATTCATAAGAACCTATTAAAAGATTTAAACATATGACACCTGTGACCTTGAATGTCGAACATGGACATTATAATATAAGGTTGAACAGAGTTTAGAGTCTTTCAACCCAGCATGCTTCTGGAAAAATATCATTACCCTGGACCTTTTGGTTATACAGAACAAATCATTTAAAGATTTAAACATATATTGACCACTGTGACCTTGAATATGGGCGAAGGTCATTCACTTGGTAGTCCTTCATCCCAGCATGTTAATGGCCAAATATCATCAC